AAAAATTTCTAATTTTTTGAGTTAAGTACCTCTAGGGGTGACCCGTCCTGAGCAACCCGACGACACTCACCACAATCTCGACGCCAGGCCCCATGATCTTGCTCCACTTGGCCTGGATGGCCGCCTCCACGGTCGTCTTGAGGGGGCCCGCGTAATCGGTGTCGATGAGCAGCTCGACGTCCTCCAGGTCGACGTCCACGCTGTTGCCCTCGGCGGCCTCCATAACGAGCGAGTCGACGGTGGTGTGCGACTCGCCCTCCATCTCGATCTCCACCACGCTCTCTCCGTCCTGCAGGGCAATGCCAGAAAACGCAAGCGTCACAACACCGCACATGGGGAACAAATGGACAAAAGTGACAAGGGACCGCTGAGATACGTAGCCTAAGATGGTAAGGGGGGTAGCTCCCATTAGGTTTACAATCACCATTGGAGTTCATAGGGACCCCGTAATATTTGCAACACGAAGTGAAAATAACACGGGGTCTCAATGAACTCACACAGTGATCCTGAACTCAATGGGAGGCCATATTATTCGCACCCCTTCCGCTTCCACAGCGTGACAGTATCGTGACGTCCCCAGGAAGTGTATGCATATGCGTTATGCTCACCGCGTTGATGGGGAAGCGCGGCAGCGACGCGGCCGACGGCGAGGCGGGGGCCTGCGCGGCGGTGGGCTTGAGCTCGCTGTTGGCGATGGCCTGCTGCAGCTGCTCGAACTTGGGGCCGCGCAGGTAGCGCTCCAGGCACAGGCTCACGGTCTGCCCGGTGTTGCGCAGCACCTCCACGGCCTGGTGGTTGGTGTAGCCCTGCAGCGAGCGCCCGTCCACCTCGACGATGCGGTCGTTGACCTGGATCTTGCCGCACAGGTCGGCCGCGCTGCCCTCGCTGATGCTCTTGACGAAGATGCCCGACAGCTCCTCCTTCTCGCACACGTAGCCGGCGATGGTGATGCCGAGGCCGTGCACGTCCTTCTTGAGGTCGACGGTGAAGGTCTCCATCTCGGGCAGCGTCTCGGAGGGTATCATCTCCATGGTGAGCAGCGGCAGCCCGGCCATGGGCCCCGTCGGCATGAGCTCGATGTCGCCGCCGCCGCCACCGCCGCCGCCGCCGTCCTCGCGGAAGATGAAGTGGTTGTCGTACGAGTCGAGGATGGAGGCCTGCGGCGTGAAGGTGTTGGGGAAGCCGTTGCGCGTCAGGTGGCGGTCCAGCTCCTCCGGGTCGCCCAGGATCTTGGTGGGCACGACGGGCGGCATGCCGATGCCGCCGCCGAGCGGGCCGGCCAGCACGCCGCCGCCCTGGTAGTCGGCCGAGTTGGTCTCGACGGGCCGCGCCACCACGAGGCGGACGTGGCTGCCGGACTGGCGCAGCACGGCGGCCACCTGCTCCGAGCCCATGCCGCGCAGGTTGACGTCGCCGATCTGCAGGATGTGGTCGCCGCTCTGCAGATGGCCGTTCTGGAAGGGTGGGCGAAAAGGGCGCAGTTAGTCTCCGGAGGACACACACAGCACTCAATCAAAGGTTCATCCCCACTGACGGCATCGGAACGTGACGAGGGGAGACACTCACCCGGTCCGCCACGCCGCCGGGGAGGATGGTCTTGACGACGACCCCGGTGCTGCGGCCGCCGATGATGCCGAAGCCGAGCCCGGAGCCATCGTTGATGAGGTCGATCACCTCCACCTGCGCCCACTCTGTGTTCAGCTGCAATCACACGAGCGAGAGAAACGCATTTAGAAATCGAATCAAGCAGAGGGGTGGACGCGTTATTTCACTTTCTCATTTCCGGTCCGAGATGGGCGGGTGGGCGCGCCCCGTGCCGTGCCGCGCCGGGGCGCGTGGACATACCCCGCCCCCGCAGAGCACCTAGCGCGCAGGGGGTAGGCGCACCACCGCAGTCACCACCCCCTTCCACCCACCCCCACCGACCGCTTGGCAATCCTTGCCCCTAACCCCACCCCGCCAGGAGGTACATACCTCTCCACTAAATTGTCCCTCCGTTACTCGCCGCATGAGCGGGTCCAATTAAGACGGCTGGCGGTAGAGGGGGAAGGGGGGGTGGAGCTGGTAAACTCCGATACGCCGTCTTGAACTACATTAGACACGTCCATTAATTCGCCTTCGATCGAGCGCGCGCGAGGCGCCCCCGCACCCGAGGCCGCCGCCGCCACCCGCACGCCCCGGCGCACCCGGCGTGCTTTTCAAAAAGTAACTAACAAGCTTGAAAATGACTGGAGCCCTCCTCGGCGGAGCGCCGGCGCGACACGACGCGCCCAGGAAAGTGTCATTAATTTCACTCCCGGAAACAGAGGGGGGCCGCCGCCTCGCCATCGCCATCCCTCATCCGCGCCGCCGCCGCCGGTCCCCAATTGTATGAGGCAATCAATTTCACCCCCCCTCTCCCTCCACTCCTCAACCTCCTTCCCCCGGATACCCGCCCTCTTACCCCTCTTTTCACCAAAACTGCCTTCACACGCGGCGCTTTTCTCAAGTTGCCGGCGCCGCCGCCGCCACCACCATCCACCATCACCCTCCTCCTCTTCCTGGCCCTGGCCCACCCTCTAAATATCAGCACTCTATGCTCGTCGGACGCACCTCCATTACAAGCTGCCCCCTCCCTCTCTTTTCCCACCGGCGCCTACCAAGGTGGAATAACGACCAACAATTAACCCCTCTTACTACGCCGTCATCATTCGTCTCCCTTCCTCATCCCTGCGGGCCCCGCGTCTCTCTTTCTTCGCCGCAAAACTTTTCCCGCGCTGCTTATCACACACGACGACTTTTCGCCGCTCTCCTCTTTCGCTTCCACCCCACAACTTCTCGGCGTTCGCCGCAGGGGTGGTGGCCTCCCTGGCCCCGCCGCCGACCTTTCCTCCGACCCTTTCCGCCATTTCCATCTCGCAAACAAACACCGCGGTCGACGACGACGCTCCCAACACCTCACGTAATTCGCATCCCCTTCTCCTTCATCGACTGGCGCTCCCCACCACCACCATCACTCCACACGTTCCGGACGCGGCGGAGCGCGAACAAGGTACTCACCACCATGTCGGAGCCGGCCTTGGAGGTGTCACTGACGGCCGACGGCGAGGGTGGCGCGGGGGCGGCGGCGGCGGCGAGCGCGGCGGGCTGGAGCGGCCCGGACGCGACGCCGCTGGGCTGGTCGGCGCCGCCAGCGGCCTGCTGGGGCGAGTCGTCAGTGCGCGCGACCACCAGCTCCACCAGCCCGCGCGCCTGCTGCAGGATGCTGATGGCCTGCAGGTGGGAGATGTTCGAGTCCAGGGGCTGGCCATCGATGGCCAGGATCTGATCCCCCTCGTGGATACGCCCGTCCCTGCGCAAAGAAAAGAGAAAACAAACGTTAGGCACAAACTGTCAGAGAAACAAAAAGAGAACAAAACAACAACAACAAGAACGCGACGAGGAAATCAGCGAAATCATCGCGCACAGCAGTTCCGCGAGCTATAATCCTCCCCTCTCCCTTTTCTCTCTCGGGATGGATGAGGCGGCTACGGATAACAGATTCGGCTGAAAGCGGGGCGCGGGGGGCGTGGGCGGTGGGAGGTAAGAGAGGAGGGTAGCATAAACGAAGATTTCGGAAATCATAAGAAGTTTTAGCCATCAAAGCTTGTTACGAGGCTTCCGTCCGTCCGCGAGGCGGGATTACGGTCCCCCCCGCCCCAGCAGCGTCCCGCGCGCGGCAAATCTCCGCGACAATGACTTTTCCAGCAGGGCTGGCTGTGCTTTTAGGAGGCGGGGGCGGGCGCGCGCGCGCTGTGTGGTCGTGCCGTGCGCCGTGCGGCGCGCGGCCGCCCCCTTTGCTTTCCCCATCTCCGCCATCCTTTCCTTCGCAAATTGAGCCGCTGAGCGCGACGCGGCGCGCGCCCGCGCAGACGACGACCATAACAGTTACCCTCCAGTTTTACGACGGGGGACCTGGCGACCCCGCCCCGCCCCCTTCCCTGCTTACGCCCCGTACCTCCTTACCACCACCACCCTTCCCCCTAACCCAGTTTGTCTTTTGTGCATTATTAAAACATTTTTATTTTTCTTCTTCATGTATAATCTTTCTGACATTTTGACTGATTTTCCTTTCCCTGGCCGTGCGAGAGCGTTGTTGGCGTTGGCGGAAGTATGTAACACGGCGTGATGGGGATGCGATGGAAACGAGGCAGAAGTGGGCCAGCGGCGACGGCGGGGCTAAAAGGCCCGCAGGCCGACAGGCCGACAGGCCCCCTGCCAGCCAACAGGTCAACAGGACGCTCTCCGCCCGCAGGCCAGGCCAGGTAGGGCCAGGCCGCAGGCAGGTGGGGCCAGGGCCAGGCAGGCAGGTGGGGCCAGGTGGGGCCCGGCGGGCGCCCATACACATCCTGCGAGGCGGATAACGACACTCCCGTATGCGTAATGCGTGCTTTGCAGGCCCGCCGCCGCCCATGCTCCGCCGCTCGGCCCGAGCCGCAAATCTACCTCCTCCTGCGCTGCTCCTCCCCTCGATGTCGAACACACGAAGCAAAAAAATAAAGTAGGTGGAAAAAAGAAAGAGCAGAAGCAGGAAACGACGAGGGACAAAACCTCCCGGAACAGGGTGACAGAGAGGAATGTAGAGGTTGGCGAGGGGCTAGGCAGGGGGAAGTAGGCGGGGGCAGGCATCAAGGGGTGGTCGGGACGGCGGACAGCCTGTAGGAGTCCGGCCAGTCCAGCACACTCTGGCAAATGAGCACGCCGAGTAAAGGGGGAGAGGGGGAGAGGCCCGACAAAATAGGAGAGCAATTAGAAACGGAGGCGAGGAGGCAGGGGTGGGCGTTGATTTACGTGGGATATTGTTCACCGAGGGGATGGCCTTCACCTCCCCTTCCTCCTCTTCCTCCTCCTGGTTTTCATCATCTTCGTGGTCCAGGCCAGAAGGAGCCCTCCAGCCCACCTTTACCCCCGCACCCCACATCTGAGCGTCCGCCTTCCTGGGCCGCGGCCGAGCGGCGCTATTGCCGGACTCACTCGCATGACGTGCTAGTGCCGCCGCCGCCGCCGCCCCTCCCTAGGGTCACCCCCTAATTTAAGGAGCAAGAGCGCGCCGATCCAACACCCCTCCACCACCATGCTCCTCCCCACCTCAACCCTCTCTCACTCGCCTCCCCGCCTCCCTCCCTCTGCCCTTACCCCCTCGAGGCGGGCTCGCTCTCACAAGAGGCAGAGATGAAGCTCACGCCATTAGCC